ATGACAATTGATAATAATGTAATTAACACGTATATATTTAAATAATAATCAACGCTATGTGGCTTATAAATATCGTCGAATATTCCATCTATCATAACTAAATTATCTTGTCGAACAAAATTGAAAAGTGATGATGTTGTCTCGTTGTTTTTAGCATTTGACCAAACTTGAAGCCACCAATTCTCCATTATTTGCATTGCTCTAGTTGCAATAAATACTCCGACAAAAAATAGCCAATAAAGTATATTTCCATTTGCGCGCAAATAAGACTTGTAAATCTTAAACTTAACCATGCCAGTTGGTCTCGCTAATAATTAATTACAATCAAGATTAATCCTAAAATTGAATCAACAAAATAAGTATAAAGACATACCTTCTTCTTCGACAAGAACTTTTGGTTTAGAGACTTTTTTTATTGGTTGTGAATCATCCGCCTGATCAACATTCTCGACATTTTCGACATTCTCGACAAGAGTTGCATCGGAAGCAGTTGATGAATCGGCGTTGTGACCAGGAGTGGATGACTGTTCGGAGATATTACTTACTTTAGCAGCATTTTCCGCGGCTAGTTCAACGGAATTCTCGAATTCTGATTGATTATCATTCTCATCAAGGATCGAGGCCAATGTTCCTGAATTACGTAATTCTGAAATTGACCCAGATGTAACAATTTTTCCATTATTAACAACAACCTAAAAGAATAATCGGATCCTAATTAGTACAATATTAAATGATTATTAAAACGCAAAATTTGTTACAGATAGTTTGCGCCATACCAAATAAGCAGCACCAGTAACAGAAAGTTTGATATGATGCGTTACAAGAATTCGAGTACGTCCTTTCATAATAGGACCTAATAGACATTCATTCATCAATTGCCAAGCAGTATGTGCGTCAACAGCACTGAAGATATCATCTATGTATATATGTTGTGCTCGCGAATAGACAGCTCTATGAAATTTACAATTTATGCGAGACCAACTTGATTCTGTGTTTTACATTACCCCCTCCCCAGCGTCCCCCCTCTATAGGACTCCGGGCTATTTCGGAAATTTTCATATAGTCACGGAACAATTCGGAAAATTTTTATTTCGAAAAAAAATTTTTTGAAAATTTTACTATGTAAACCACAAATCCCTCCCCCCTCTGGAGGGGGGTAATGTAAAACACAGAATAATCAAGTTGGTCTCGCCTTAACGTTAAGCTTAATGAATAATCAATTAAAATATAAAAAATCAATCATAATTAAATTTACCTTGCTAAAGCAACACGCATTTTCTGACCACCACTTAATGTAATTCCCTTTTCACCAATTTCTGTCATGTCACCATCTTCAAATATTTGAAAATCTTTTTCCAACGCACATATTTTTATAACTTGATTATAACGATTTTCATTATAAGGAAGACCAAAAAGAATATTATCACGAATTGAAGCATTCTGAAGCCATGCTTGCTGTGCAACATATGCAATACAGTTAGGAAGAATCCAATTATTTTCATTAATATTTTTATCAGTAGGAACTGTAAGACAATGTGGACTATTGATCTTGCCACTATGGACATTCGTTTCTGTTTAATAAAAAGATATCAAAAAAAGTTTATCAAAGATAACATAATTTGCTAATAAAGTTCGTATATTGAATTGAATTTCATTTACCTCCAAGAAGTGACATTAATAACAATGTCTTTAATAAATGTACATTATAAAAATATTAATATTATTAGAGATATATCAATTATATACATGTTCTATAAGCTTATTATACTAAACCTTCCCAGATCCGGTTGGTCCACCTAAAACATATATATATATATGTATAAGGAAGTTGTTTATAATATAGCGTGAAAGAATTTTTTTAAACAATTCTGAAACTTACAAATGATGCTTAATTCACCCACTGGAAAATTCAAATCCAATTCACGCATAGCAAATTCTTCACTATTTTCCATTATTTTATTCCATGAAACAGTTGCTTTTTCAAAAGAGATCGATGTAATAAGAGGATAATTATTTTCAGGTGGAATATCGATCTCATCTTCATTTAGAAAGTTTTCTATTCTACGTATGCTGACCATGGTTTGAAGCGCCTCAGTAAAAACTTCAGGTAAAACATTAAGTGCAAATTGAAGTTCATTGAAAACAACTATCGAAGTAAAAGCAATTGCTGCTGTGAGCTCATTTCCTTGAATTTTGGTATAAAAGAAAAAGCTAAGAATAGTGATCAAGATAGGTGAAGCCGACCACAATAGATCAAATATTGCCATATAAATAAAATTATTTCGAAATTGTTTAAGCTCAATTTTGCGAGACTCTGCAGAAAAGAAAAGATTGATTATCAACGTAAGCAAGGTTTTACAGATAATTCGAAAAAAAAGGAAAGTAATATGTACCCAATATTCTATTTTCCCAATTCTTTTCCCAGGCAAAGAATTTTATCATGCGAATGCCTTGCAGAACCTTTCATTTTGACTCCGAATAAGCATACAAAGACACATATGGATATATATTGGTAATATATGACCTTAAAGGACTTACTTCATTCATAAGCCCCACTCTACGATCTCTGGCACTCATAAGTTTGTCTTGGGTTTTTGCATATAACTTGGCCGTTTTATGATTAATCGGAAGTGTAATAATCATAACTGACAAACCGAGCAAGCAAGA